GTATAGTGACACACAAGGACTGAACTTTTCATTTTTTTTAAAAAAAAAAAAATTGGGCCGAATATTTCAGACCAATATTGGTTTGAAAATAGATTCTGCGTATGGACAATCAAGGACTGAATCTTTTTTCCTTTTTAAATAAGTTGAGAATTTTCAGACCGTTATTGGTCTGAAAATAGTTTCACCATTGTAAGATAAAGGGACCAGTTTTTTGCCATTTTCTAAAAAAGCCCTCCTATTTCAGACCACCTTTGGTCTGAATATGTTTCCACTTACCGACACATGAGGACTCACTTTTTTTTTTTTTTTTTTCCTTTGTGAGTCCACTGTGTTTTAGACCGAAAACAGTTTGAACTATTTTTAAATTTTCAGCCCGTTTCTAGTCTGAAAATAACATTTATTCAGACCAATTGTGGTCTGAGTTAGGCTCACAACTGGTCCAAATGTTGGTCTATATTCAGACCAATTTTTGGATGGTCTAAAGTTAATCTTATTCAGACCATGTTTTTTCAGACCTATTATTCGGATCATTAACTGTCTGAATAATTATATTCAGACCAATTTCCTATATTTTCATACCGATTTTTCGATATGAAAAATGACTATTTTTGGCAGTGTTTTAGTTTTCTTTTACTTGTTTGCATTTTAGTTGTTGAGTCTATCTTCTCGATCAACCAATACACTTGATTAACTTTAAATGTGAGAAGTCCCTTATGATTTTTAGGGTATTCTTCTAACTCATTTGTGCTAGATAGCATCCCTCATTCTTGTCCATTGTTTAATTTGAGGTGCATCTCTTTACTAAATTAGTACTTTATTAAAACAAAATATTTTTAAATTTTTTACCTAATATTTTTATCAATCTGATTAATAAATACTAATATTTTATTTTATATAATCTCATAATCCAACTATTTGAGAAAATTAAACTCAAGCAAAATACTTGCAAAAGTTTTGGATCGGTCTCTGCATGAATGAGCACAAATGAATTACCCCACTTTTCATTGGTTTGACAGGTCCCTGAGAAAAGAAAAATGCAAAAGCAACAATTGCCTAACTTTCACGAGCAGATAATGTGCAAATAAGAATATCAATTTTATAATTTTTTTAATTTAAAAATGTTAAATTTTTTAATTTTAAA